TTGTTTGTGCACTTAACACCATTACCAGCATTGAACATCATAAGGGAAAAGTCAGTAATAGGAGTTCACAGCCCCAAACTTTGGGTTTTATCAGGTCCCTTTGAATGTAACAAACCCCTGCAAACAGCTTGTATAAATGTTATTTTCAACAATGTAGGTTTGCAGACCTTTTCTGTGTTGAACTTGGAGGGAATTTTTTAAGTGGGAATAAGGTACAAAACCCAGAGCAGGAAATGTCATGCTCAGGACTCCATGTCTGAGTGTTTTAAACGTATTTTTAGGTTTTAGAAGGTGTTCATGTTTCAATTAAAATCTGTGAGGCTTCCCCCTGACCTGAAATACAGGACAAAAACAATGTCATCAAAATATCCTGCACCAAACATGTGGAAAATGAAAAAGGAGTTTAAGGTCATAAAGGCAACTCAGGTTTTCCATCTGTGGAGTTGTTGGCTCAAGCAGGAAATAGTTCAAGCAATGTAGGAACAGCAGCTACTTGTCACTACCGTTACAGTAAAGTATGGAAACATTCTTGTAAAAAGCATTGATCATGTTTTTTTAAATTTTATTTTGAGCTCATATTAATGCATCATCAATATCACCTAAATTCAGCTGTTGAACCATTGAAGTGTTTCGTGGGTGGAGCAGGTTAGAATTTGAGTTACGTTTGAAGCTGTGTGGTTGCAGTACATTAACCCCAAGACACCTTATAGTGTTATATATACTTGTGGTTTGTCCTTCTTTCAGGTGGACAGGCTGTGTCAAATCATGCACAGGAGCACAAAACAGCCACAGCACAGAAATTGTACTCCCTACTCTCCTGAGAACCAGCAAACCTTTCATACCTGTGTAAGTCCATTTTTGGGCATTCCTTAGAGAATTTCCTCTGCTTTGACCAACGAGATTTTTTCTCAAATATTATCTCATATATTTTCTCATATATTAGTGAAAATTATGGTCTTTAATCTTCATTTGCTCCTGTTTTCTGAAGGGCAAGAAGAGGCAGAATGGTGGCTGAAAACAGGCTTTGAAGCTGCGCTGAAAGAAGTAACTCAGTGACTTCCTTTTTTTGTGTTTCTCAGCCTTCCTCAGAGCCATAGCACAGCATGTGAGTGTTTTGGAGGCAGGCAGAGCTGAGACAGGATGCAAATGACTGAGTTAAAGCCGCTTTTTCCATAGCTCTGAGGACAGGCTCACAGATGGCAGGGGACGTCACCTATGCGGCCGTGGCGATGCTGCCGAGGGAAAGGCCCCGCGCTCCTCCAGGGACACCAAACCCAGGTAAAACCTCTTGGGCACACACTCTCTGCTCTCCTGAGCTCTCTCTCTCTTTCCCTCTCACATCTTAAGCTGGGTAAAACTAGTAGAATGCCATAAGAATGCTGCATGGGAAGGGCAAGAAGGTGGAATAGTGGATGAGATCCTCACAGCACAAATCAGCCAAGTTGCTCCAAAGCAGAACCACCAAGGAGCAGCAGGTCAGGTCTGGTCCCAGGCTTTAAGTAACAGAATGAGAAAGAAAAAGTGTTCATTGGTTGAGTAATGAGCATAATATTTCTTTTTAAATGAGTAACATGATGAAGACAATGCTCCACTGAACTACTGCCTAGCCCACAAATCATATCAATGTTTATGTTCATGGAAAAGGAGCAGTAAATTAACCAGGAAATCAGGAAACAAGTAGCAGTCTAAAGTGCAGCCACTGTCACTGAAGGAAGTACTGAATGTCCCCTAAAAACTTCCTGCTCTTTCTCTTTAATTTTCCAGGGGTGATTTTCCAGAACCAAATTAGCAATCTGTGATCATGTCATATTTTTGTAAAAAAGCCCCAAAGGATTAAGCCAGTATTCAGGGTAAGGAGATTATTTGAACTAAATTTTCTGAAGAAATGGCATTTCTACTACTTGAAAAAAAATTGTAATTCATTCATGAAAGCATTTGGACAAAATTCTGGATCACATTTAACATGAGTTACAGCTTATTGTGAACAAATAGGAAATTCTTATTGCATCAGACTAAGGATATTTTCATGCTTTCATTAGTAATTATTGTATTTAATCCCTTAAGGAAACAGCATTGCTTAATGAGCATTTTTAGATGTTCTACTTACAATGGAGATTAACAGTGATGATGGTGCTCTGAATACATGCACTTAAATGACAGAAAATAATAGCTTTTATATATTTTTACAAGAGTGGTATCCAAAAGATAAAAATTAGTTCACTTTAGAATATATATTTATATATAATATATATATTATATATTATATAATATATATTATATATATGTTTTTTATATATATATATTTATTTATATATGTAATATATATACACTTTATTATATACATGGCATGAAATACTACCTTAAATTCTGTGTTCATGCACCTATGGATGTTGTTTGCACTGCTATAACCTGCGCAACACAAAGAGGTCTTGCCTGGAATTTTACCCAATATCCAAAGTGATAAAACTTATTTGTGAAGGGAGACAGACATCAAATCTTGATTAGAAGACATCCAAAACTAGTTCTTGATCATGCTGCCTAAAGGAAAAGTTCAATTTTGGACAGGCCAGTTCCAGTGAAATTTATCATTAATATGTGGATGGCTCTTAGTAAACTTTTGTTGAACTGATTTTAACTCATGATATTTTCTCATATGAAGCTACTGACCATGGTAATTAAGTGATTTCTTAATGCCCTGTTCCCTTTAAATATTTAACTTCTCAAAAATGCTAATCATTTTTGTGGATGTTCTGTTCATACTCCAGTGCTTCTATCCCCTTTAAGAAACAGGCACCAGAGATCCATCCGGCAGTTCTACAAGCCTTAGTTATTCTATCTCAAATATACAGAGACAAAATCTCTTAACTAATCTTTTCTTCAGTGTTTACAGCTCCCAGCCTCACTTTCCCCATTCTTATATCTGATTATACTCAAATACATTTTGTTTGACTGGGCTTGGATTACAGCTGGACTTCAGCTGTCACTCAGGTGCTCTGGATAACAGGGACGTGGGGCCACGTTTCTCTTCACAGAGAAAAGCAAGGCACACATTAACAGAGGATTAACCCTTAAAAACAACAGCCTGTTGCATATTCATACACCTCATACGTGGTGCATAAATTCCATTCAAACACAGGATTCTGTCTGGTCAGTGTCAGCTTCTTCCTCTGAATCCTAACAGCGCCTTCAAGGCAGGAAGAAGTTCATTTCTTCTGATAAGAGAGCAATAAATTCTTTTTCTCTGAAAGATTTAGGTGTCTGTGGCTGCTACCTCAGCGTGAGTCCTTTCTTTAAAAAAAATATCCTACATAGCATAGTTTCTATTTTAACGTTTTTTATAACCTAAAACTATATTTAACACAGTGCTTAAGAGAATTAATACAGCATAACTTTCTAACACAACACATATAATATTCATTTTAATATTTGCAAAAAGCCAATCATAAAATACATGCATTTTTCACAAGTAGAAAAGTGTCCCTAAATCCCAGCAAGGATTAACACACCTGAGAATCCATTTTCCAGCGAAAGACTCCGGCAGTTTTTTGTGTCTCAATTCCCTCACAGATAATTTGAGAGCTGCCTGATTATGAATCCTGAGTGGCTATACAGAACTTTCTCTGGGAGAAGGACAAACCAAGGAGAGTTCAAGTCTACCACCAAACCAACCCACAAGCAGTTGTAGCCTGCTATTGGTTGTGCCCTTAACTTCTTGTTCCCCTCCTTAACCTCCTGGGCTGCTCTGGGTGTTGACCAGGGCCACCTGGAGCCTCTGGAGCTTCCCCCAGACCCCTGGATGTGCTGGCCCACATCTGGACACACCATTCCCTAAGAGATCCCCCCAGGAGCACTCCCTGGCTGCACATTCACCAGGCAGAAGCTTCCAATACACAGGGATGTTTTCTGCACCTGACAACAGACACAGGGAAGTGCAATGACATTTCAGTTTCAGTGGCTGACAGAGATCTCCACCTTGTTGTTGAATTAGGTGAGGGTGTGGAAGCATCTGGCAGAACTAAGGTGTTTTAAATCCCCCTGCTGACTTCCGAGGACTCTGCATTCAAATAATAATCCCAGCATTCAAATAATCATACCAGCCCATACACACTGTAATAGAAGGAAAGATTTTGGTTAAATATTCAGCTTGCATAGATGAGGTTTTTTTTCTTACAGGCTTAGAGATATTTTTGAAGGAATAAATGTGCATTTGAGAGACAAATTATTTACTAATAGCAACAGAATGTCTAAAATACTTATTTTAGAAGTACCTCCATTTACAGGGCTAGTGCATTTAAAAGTTTAAAAGTCCTGAGTGTTTTTGGAAAATTATTTACATTCTAAGAAGAAAAATTTTTAGGGCAATTGATTTGAGAACAATTACATTTAATTTACAATTTTTCTGTAGTTCATTGAATTAATAATTTGAAAGAAAGCAAACAACCAAGTGTATTAGGTCATATTCTCTAAAGCACAGACTGTCTCCCCTATATGAATAACCCTTCTTTGCCAATCAGGTTCTCAGTGGGTTTTTTAACTGTAAAACCTCTCCCTACTTCACTAATTCTCATATGAAATGCTGCCTCATTTAAACCTAATGAAACTCTCTTCCTCTGCCAAGATTTTCCCTCAACAGTGAAATTTAATACAACACTTCTTTTTAAAAGCCGCAGTGGTCACAAACTGTGGTGGTAGCACAGAAGCTTATTCTTGATACAGATGGACAAAAATCTCTCCATTTATGGAACCAAAAGCAGTGTCCCAAAGGTCCAAATACGTTCCATAACACTAATCAGTAGCTCTGCAAAATACCCAGGTAAATTATATTGAAAACATCTTCAGAAAGAATCCACGTGCCTTGAACCCACACCGTGAGATTTTAATGCCAGTTTTGGTTTTGTTTTGGCAACGTGCTTTTGGAAAAGGATGTCTTCAACCCTCAGGTCCATTGCTGCTGCAGGCAGCACCTGAAATATCCTGGGAAAAGCACTCACAAGTCAGGAATGCCCCCAGGAATTGCCTTGCTGCAGCAGCATTTCTCTGAGTGCTGGTTTGCATTTGGCGCCTCTCTGCCCCACAGAGCAGTGGTGGGTCCGGTGCCCCTCCAGCCCCTGTGGTACCCTCTGAGCTGCCTTAGCAACAAATGGGATGCTTGCCATGGACAGGATCCAGTTCCTTCCCATCCTTCAGGCCTTTTGTCTGACTCCTGCTCCAGCCACACAACACCCAGCAGTTCAAAGCTTATGGAGGAGGCTTTTCCTGCCTGACAGCAGGAGGAAGTGGTAAATCATCATCTTGCCTGCCGTTGCCTAGGAAAAGGAAAATGCTGAACAAGCAGCCCTGGAAACACACCTCCCTTTTCATGCAAGCTCCGCCTTTATTGTTCCTCCACCTGGTGATTGGCACAGGCACAAATGTCAGCGCTGCCCTCTCCCTACAGGAAACACCATCACGTATGCTGAGCTGCATGTGAAGCCCCAGCCCCAAGGGAGCAGCAGAGCAGAGACTTCCGCTCCTGGTACTGTGCAATTTTGTTTGGTTACTATTTATAGATGGAGTTTTTCCTATTGCCCAGCAGTGAAACCTGCTATCAAGAGTTTTTATGTACACTCTCTCAATGAAGGGCTGATCTGTCATTTCATCTGCTGCTTTTCTTCCTGGCTTCTCAGATTTTACACTTTCCTTTTAAAAATAATACAGAGAGATGTTTCAAAAATAATTTCTAAAAATGCCTTCGTGCCCTACATGGGAAATGTAGTAAAGCAAAGAAAAATCCTATGGTTTTTGTAGAACCCTCGTGGGGGAAGAATCCCAGGGATGCATTTGGCTTTGGAAGCAGGGTAACGCCCAGGTCTCTCTGTGCCATTAGTGCCTGGTGACTGTCACCCTCCCTGTACTGGGAACATCACACCAGATAGGTCAGGCAGCCAGAGGATGGAGCAGTTGCTCATCTCACGCAGGCAAGGTCAGGTAAACAGAGGTTATGACAGTGCACATCGGTGTCTCATGGCACTGGCACCTTAACCCCAAATCTCCTCGGTTCTGCAGCTTCCTGAAGGTTTCCCTCTGACACACACAAATGACAAACAGCTGGAGAGATGCTTGGTTTGATGCAGCTCCCTGTGCCGTGCCAGGGGGTGTCAGTATGGGGCTTTTTTTCCCTGTGCATTTAGGGAAGTTATCTTTGCACTGCAGGACAGGAACAGTAACGCTTGCGAGCAGAGAGGAGCAACACCCCACAGCCCATCCCTGACAGACACCACAACCATCCCTGACACCCTAGCCCATCTCTGACACCTCAGCCTGTCCCTGACACCTCAGCCCATCCCTGACAGACACCACAGCCCATCCCTGACACCACAGCCTGTCCCTGACACCACAGCCCATCCTTGATACTTTCCCTGAACTGCTCTGCAAGGTCCTGCAGGCTGTGTGCAGGTAGGTGAGAGGAGGCAATGCTTGAGAAAAATAAGTCAAAGGAGAAAAGGCAAATCCTTAATGGTTGACAATCACTTGCTCTGTCTGACCAATCATTTTGATTTCACTTCTATGTGTGCAAAATGGATGCAGATTTTTAATAAGTTAAATGCCACTGCATCCTCCTGACAGCAGACTGATTTTAGGCAGATGATTTCTCTGTTGTTTCCCCAGTGTTAGGGTTAAGTTTAAGAGTGCCAGGACCTTAAACTGCTCTTCCTCCTGCCTCCCTGCAGGCTGCCAGCACAGGAGCTCAGTCTGGTTCTACGTGGCCCTGGTCCTGGCAGTCCTCGTGCTCATCCTGCTGGGAATCGTGGCCATACAAGCCAAGCAGTGTGAGTAGATCCTGCCTCCTGCTTCACCCTTCACTGCAGACATGGTTAAACCTCTGAAAGAGCTGAGAGAAAAATTCCCTTAGTGGCACACTAAAAGGTGTCAACTCGTACACAAATACAGGAAATGAGAAACTCCTGACACGGGCCTGGAGTGACAGGACAGGGGGCAAGGGCTTCACACTGACACAGAGCAGGTTTAGATTGGATATGAGGAAGAAATTCTTACCTGTGAAGGTGGTGAGGCCCTGGCACAGGCTGCCCAGAGAAGCTGTGGCTGCCCCATCCCTGGCAGTGTCCAAGGCCAGGCTGGATGGGGCTCTGAACAAGCTGGGATAGTGGGAGGTGTCCTTGCCCATGGCAGGGGGGTTGGAATGAAATTATCTTTAAAGGCTTTCCAAGCCAGGCCATTCCATGAACATCTTCTCAGGAGGGCTTAGCTCACTGAACTTTACTCAGAGTTTGCTCCTAACTGTGTCTGTACCAGGCAATGTACACAGAGATATCCTCACATTCCCAGATCAGCTCTGGGTACAAAGACTGCATTTCCTTATCCTTGTTGTTAACCATGACCTCTTTGTCTTTTTTTTTTTTTTTAATTTTTTTGACTTTGGGCTGTTCCAGTTTTGAAGGGCATAGCAGGAAAATCAGGAAGTTTGCCCCAGTATGGTCTGAACAGCACCAGCAGTGACATTTCTTCAGAGAGGACTGTCTCAGCACTCCTGAAACAGCTCGTGGAGGAGCTGTGTGAAGATGGACAGGGTGAGGCACATTGCTCCTTTCCAGCAGAGAGGATGTGTGGTGTGCACAGTTCTGTTGTCTCTGTTCCCATTTCTCTGACACCCTGCAGTTTATGGGAACTCATGGTGCTCCTGCAGAGCAGTGGTAACAAAACCTAAAGTAACATTTCAATCATGATAGTCTCGCTCCTCCGTTGATATAAAGTTTCCAGTGTTTTCATTACATTTCTGTCTGTCAGGAGCTGCTCTCAGAAATGCCATATATTCTCCTCTTGTCCTGTTTCCAGACAATAGTTCATAAACAGGGAGAAAAATTCCATCCATTGCAGGAGCTAAATATTCCCCCTGTCCATCCACAGGGACAACGTGTGAGCTGTGTCCCCCTGGCTGGCAGCTGCACAGGGGCAGATGTTACTTCTTCTCTGAAGAGGCCAGGAGCTGGGAGGACAGCCAGAAAAACTGCCTGGCCAGGAAATCTCAGCTGCTTGTCATTGAGGATGAAATTGAGATGGTGAGTCTTGCAGCAGTGACAGGCCTCAGCCAAACATTTCTCCAAGAGAAAATGGCCTGGATGTCAGGAGTACACATAGACAACCGAGAGCCCTGAGCAGGGAAAGGATCTGAGTCTCTCTGCACAGGAGCTGGGTTTGGGAATGTCAGCAGAGCAGAGCTGAAGAGGAGAAGCACAAGAGGCGTCAAGTGTGGAAGCCAGAGTGGTTTAAACTGGGAAGAGGAAATGCTGGGGACTTTTTGGCTCAGGGAAGAGAGGAGGCTGGTTGTGTGTGGGGGCTGATGTGAGGGGCTGCTCTGCCATGGCTGCATCCCTGCCCTTGCTCTTCAAAAGGAAATAAAAGCTGTGTATGAGGCAGGAGCATGACCTGGGCACAGCAGGAAAGCTCTTCTGTCAGGTAACATCCTTCAAATCATTCCACAGGAATTTATAGACAGCAAAAATAAAGATACCAAATATATCTGGATTGGCTCGGACATCGAAGACAAGGAGAAAACACAGAGTTCAGTGGAAGATCACAGAGTAAAAGAAAAGAGGTGATGATTTTTGGGGGGAGGATATCTTTGGGGAAAGCAAATTGCAATATCCCTGCTTGGAAATACAATTCTGAATCTGAGCTAATTACCCAAAGCACAGATCTAAGCCTGCAGCCTCAGGTACCTATTCAGTCTATTTCATGGCCAGTTCCAGGTCAACAAGTTCCTGCTGGTAGTTTGGGAAACTGATTTCTGCCTCCAGGACTAACCACACCCACAGCTCATATATTTATTAATGCAGAGATATAATTACACACTTCTGCTGAAATCCCTGCCAACAAACTCTGTCACTTTGCAGACCATGAGCTGCCTGCCTCTGTTGAAGGTGCTGCCTGTCACCACATAGCACTGGCTGGGATCTCTGCAGCTTCTTCAGCACTGTGGCTGCATGGGGAGGATCCTTATCCTTGTAACACGAATAATGCCAAGCATCCCCCCCTCAGAAGCCAGCAGTCCCTGCTGGGGGTGCCCCACCCACCCCTGCACAGCTGCTGTGCTTCCAGGGGTTGGTCAAGTGGGCATCATCCACGCCCCCCACCCAGAGCACCACCAGGATTTGTAAGCTGTGCTGAGTTTAAACCCAGCAACTCATTGCATTCCTTTTGGTCTCTCAGCAGGACAGCTCCAAAAAGCACTGAGGCTGACAAGAACTGTGCTGTTTACAGAAGGAAAAACCTGATCCAGACAGACAACTGCCAGACCTTAAAAGAGTGGATCTGTAAGAAGAATGCAACTTTGCTGGTGCTCTGAGCCACATTTCCAGATAGCAGGCAGAGCTTCTCATCAGAACACCCATTTTACAGATAAACCAACTTGTGATCAGACTTGCAGGGAAACTTGCACTTTGCTGTGCTGTGCTCCCCAAGAAGTCAGAAGACAGGTCCTGCAACGGGGCTGCAAGCTGGCACATGAGGATTCTGGGGTGCTGAGCCTTCACACTGACAGATTTTGGCAGCAGCTGCCTCAGGAAGGGTCAGAGGAGAAGAGATACTCGTGGGGAGGAGCACTGTGCACATAAACAGTGTGATGTGCAGGAATTGTGGCCCCTGTGGGGCATGAAAGGTGTGCTGGGCCCTCTGCTGTCATCCCTGCTGAGCTCAGGACTTCTTATTTGGGTTTCAGGATTTTAGTGTTTGTTGAAGTTTGTGGCCTTGGGGTTTTGTGGTTTTTTTCCTTGGGGTCTATTTGTGACTCACAGAAGCCACTTGAGGGCTGGGAAAAATGCATCTATTGGACAATGTCTTATTTAAAGCTGCTGCACAGCTACTGGGTGTGGACAGCAGATCAGGCATGGAGTGACTTCTAACACTTGTGGTTAATGTGCTGATTGCTCCCATCCTCTTCTGCTGCTGAGCCTTGGAATCTGAAGGGATTAACTAGGGAAGGGGCTTGGGCTGCAAAACAGCATTGCAGTGCAAGGAAATAAAGTTGGTAACCTTCCTCTCCACCTATATTTTGTCCCTTTACATTATAAATTCCAATTTACATTGTAAATTCCACAGTTATGGTATGATGAGGTACCAAAGCCAAAGACTGCTGAAATAAATACCTGGGAGTGCACTCAGTAAATGCATTACTTGGGCATTGAAATGTCATAAATAAATGCTATTTCTGGGTCTAGAACACAAAAATGCTAAGAGCAGTCTGGCCTAATGCCTTTATTAGATTACCATGTTTGACAAAAATGAAGAAATGTCATGAATTGATGGTGCTACTCTTAACAGAAATGGCACCAACTGGAATTAAAGTCCTTGCAGCAATGAGAAACAAGTGTAACATGGCTTTTGAGATGGTGAGCCTTTACCTCATCTCTGCTGTGATGCACACAAATCAAGGCAGCTGCAGTTTCTCAGAGATGTTTTTTCATGCCTGTGCATGCCTGGGGAGGGTTAATGTCCAGCACTTTAGGGCTGCAGATTAAAAAGTGAACTGTACCCTCAGGGACTTCCCTTCAAACAACAACAACAACAAAATCCCAGCACAGATTTGTCACGCAGAATGCAGCATCAGCAGCTCAAGACCCATGAGAAACTGCTGTTATGTAAGAGGAAACAAGAAAAATCCCCCAAACTCAGCACAGCACGTGAGGGGAAGAGGATTGGTTTGCTCATTCTAGACAGAGAAGCAAAGAAAAGGAAAAAGTCTGAAATGAGTAAAATCATCATCTATACCTATATAATACATGCTTTATAGAGAGAGAATTTCTGACTGCTGAGAAATTTTCAGGGTACTCACAGCACACCCTTCTCCATGCAGTAGAGTTGACAATTGCTGGTTTTCTGGCAGATCTATCTTGACTCATGCTGAATTTAACAAGAAAAACAAACTCCTGCATGCTGGCTTCTCTCAGTTGTGGTGTTAAGGTTTTAACAATATTCATAAAACATCGACAATTTGGGCCTTCTTGCTATTATTCATGTAATTAAACAAGTTTTTGCAGGGCCTTACTGAAGTTCTTACCTACATTTTAAGCAGTCACTTATTTAAAGGAAAAAAAGAAATTACCATTGAAGTACTTCATCAAACTCCACTCTGAGTAAAGCAAGTTGGCAGAGTTTGCAGCTTCACTCTTCTTTTCTTAACACCCCCAAGGAAGTTCATTGCATCCGTGAGGAGTCAGATTCCAAAAGAGCTTTCACTTTTTAACCTTTTATTAAAAGTGTGACTCATTATGAGGTGTTAAAAAGGGAAAAACATTCTTTTTTGGATCAAATATTCTGCTCCATGTCAGCCCCAACATTATGATTAAAGATTTTTTCCATGTTCAAAACATGAATATTTTACTTCGCTTCAGATTTTTTTTTCACCAAAATGGTGCCTGAGATGAAAAATACTTTTTATATCTCAATATTAAGATACAAACCACTGTAATTCAGGGGCTCTGTAAAGATATTTATTAAGTATCTTTTCAGGACTATTGCACATACCATATCCTTCAGAATCAGGTTAATGTGAAAACATTGCAGAATAACACCTTTCCCCCAACATAAAAAATAAATAGATAATTAGGCTTTTAATACTGTAGATCCTGTTACTGTGCCTATAAAGAATACAAACAATTAAGAAGTCTAGGAAGTGTAATCCAGCAAAATTAGTGGTTATATTTAAATAAACATCTGAAAGGCACAAGCTGCTGACAGTATCCATGTGTATGGTCCTGCTACAGTCAAGTCCTTCTGTCACAGAAAATAATGGGGGTGAACTTCCCATCCTTCCTCCCCTGGAAACTTCATAGTTATATTCCTTCCAAGCAAATTTGCTTCCTCTGGGTCAAATGACACTTTTAATCTTTGGACAACCTGATAGACACGTGCAGGACTCAGACAATCAGGGGGATTGTGCCCTAATCCTGTTCAGGCTCCCAGCAATCCAAGAGCACTGGAGGCTGCTGCTGAAAATGTCACCTACACCAGGAAACACTGACTGTCCACCTGGAAATGTCCCCTTGCTCAGAAGCCTCACCATGACAGGCACAGGGCAAAAGGGAGACATAGAGAAATATCCCTTGCTGTTAATTCTCTCATTCCCTTCTCCTGATTCTGCCTCCTTGCACTGAGGACTACTCCTACATTTACACATTATACATAATGCCTGCATTACACATTAATCCCTGCAGCTTCACTATCACTCCTCCAGTTCCTCTTCTCCCCCCATCAGTGCAGATGCTCAGGTAAATAAATATTCTTATCTACTGTGACCTTTTTTTGGCTAAAGAAAGTGTTGTGAGGATAACTTCAGGTGCAGTGCAGCTACATAAATCAGCTTGACAGTGTTATCACCAGGATTTAACAACATTAATGTAACATAACATTAACAAAACTTGGAATACAATGCAAGGTACATCCCATCAAATGCAAAGAGAGGAATTTGCTGTGATCCTGTCTAAAACAACAGTGTTCATTTCTGCATTGCCCTGTATCCACGAGGCACTGGCAGCCCTCCAGACAGAACCCACTCCACCACCCTTGAAACACAGAGCCTGGCAAAAGGAAAAGCAGAACAAAAACCTCCAACTGCACACCCAAAAATGGAAAGAAAGAGCAGCTGCTCCTACAAGAGAAGAGTAAATGGAGGAAATATTGATGGCACAGCAAAACGAAACTACAGCTGGGCAGTAGCTGGAAAAATAGGGCAAGGAAATGACTTATCAGGATGCTGAAGAGAGCCTTTAAAATGGTATCTTTAAAGCTTTCCTCCATGGGTGGAGAATTCTGGCTACCAGAAAAGTCATTCACCTCTGTGTAGGAGCTGGGACACATTCCCAGGTCCCAGAGTGTAGGCATAGCCTGTGTAGGCATCACATCAGAGCTCTGAGAGTCAGGGGTGGTGGCTTTTTCCACCTTTATCTTGCTGAGTTGATATTCAAGCTACAGACCCATTTCCTGGTTAAAGAACATCCTGAGGCTGAGACTCCTCTGGACTCCAGATAGGCACAGCTGCCAGAGCCTTTCACTTCAAACCTGTCAGGGAGAAGGGAAGACAGGGTTACTTGGACACACACAATCAAATATTGCAATAGAGCAAAGGCAGCTATGGGCGTCTCTGGTTCTCTTTGAATTCTCTTGGAATAAAGCCTGATTTATCTCAGGCAAGGCACCACAGGAGGATGATGTTTTGTGCCTTGAAGGGAACACCATGGAGATTGTCTTTTCTTAATGGTATCTCATGCCCAGAATACAAAATCCAGGACTTGTAGTACTCCTGCATCTTGTTTAGTGGTCACTTAATGTGAAACACACCCTTAGAGCAGAGACTGAAACTCAGGTTTGCCTTTCTCAGGGATGCTGAGCCATCAAGATGGGTACCACCACCTTGCACCTCCACATCCTCCTATCCAGCTCAAAGGTTCCAGCAGAAGCTGTGAAGGAAATGCATCTCTAATTCCTCCCTTCCTCAGAACCCAACAGGCACCGTGGTTAAGGGTTGTTGGGGGAAACAAGAAGCAAACCCCAGTTTCCACACCATAGGTGTCCCTACATAAGAGGTAAGGGATTCCTTCAGCAACTCTGCTTTCAAACAAAGTGCTATAAAGCTCTATGGATAGGCCAAGCAAACTGGAATGGTGTCTGGAAAAGCCAAGGGACAAATCCCCACCAGTGTAGTGACACCTGAGCTTAGATATCAAGGTGTTTGCCCTCCCCTTCAGGAGGGGCAGTTTGAGGCAAGCAGTGAGCAGAAGTCCCAGAATGGGAAGAAGCTCACTGAAAATGAAAGCATCAGTGGATGTTTGTACTGCAGACAGGGGATAAAAGAGTGGGAAGGACTGCAGTTTTCAACTTGAGGTGCCCATGTGTTCCCCACATCTCACATTAAATGCCTTTGTCAGGTCAAGCCTTCAGGGCTTGGGGATGAAGTGAATATAGTCACACATCACCAGTAATGTCACAGACTTAGAAGTATTTAAATTTTCCATTTTTTAGGGTAATTTCAGGCTTGTGAACTCTCCTTGCTTAAACCTATCAATGGTAATTCTGCCACCTCCTACCAGCAGCTGCTCAGGATGAGCTGCAGCAGCCTCTGAGGAGATGGGACAGCTGCCAGGGAGAGGAACAAAGTGCCCCACACCTGGCACTGCTGGCACAGAACCCACAGTGGGCCCTGGCCACAGAGCAGCTCATGCAACATAAATTCACATCTTCCTTTCCCTCCAGCAGCCTCTTTCTAAGAAACATTCTATAAAAATGAAAACATGTCTTAGCAGTCTCCCAAATCCCTTTGCTATTAACCTCACACAGCTCACATGCAGGTTTGCATTGTTGCAAAATATATTCTCTGATGAGGAATTCGTGTTACTGCAATCCTCCCTTCCTCCCCCAATTCCCTTCCTCCCATTGCTTTTGTGTCTCTTGGTTTCACTTTCTCTGTCTGTTACCATCAGCCTGCCTCATGTTGCTTCTCAGCATTACAAACTCATCCCCTCACTTTCATCTGCCACAGTTTTAACAATGCCATGTGAAATCTTCAGTGCATTCCATAGCCTCTCCATCCCTTCAACATAATAACAGAGATTTCCTACAAGTCACAAGATCTGCATTATTTTTCTTACTCTCCTATAATCAAAACCCCTCCACATCAACTTACAGTTTATTGTCTAATGCTTTTCCATTTACCCAGAAAAACTCTTCATTTCTTTTCTGGAGTCCAATCCATGGGTCTTGCTTTGTTATCTTCATCATAAACCTCTGTAGGAATAAACCCACATGAGAAAAGAAGTTCTGCAAGTTCAGCAAAACAACAATCTAGCCTTTCCTGCTGAAGAAACAATATTAAAACCTAAATATACAGAGACTGGTGACTGGGATAGGTTGACTGACCTAGAGAGAGGCTATTCTAAAATATCAAGGTCTGCTATCAAGGTCTGGAACAGATCCAAAATAATATATTCTCCTAGACCTTTGTTCAGGGTGGAATCTTTCCTAATACTGTGGTACAATATAGAAAAAAAAAATGCTCCAAGCTGCACTTCAGGTAACTATCTCCTAACTCTAAAGGTCACAATTAACATATTTACCAACTTGTGTGTCATTAACCTATCTCAATATGAGAAAATAATTGTTTAATTAAAGATAAATGAGATGCAACAGTGTTTACCCTGATAGATGCCCTCAATATGGCAATTTGCTGTGAGCAGCACCAAATTTAATTCAGAGAAGTACTCAGAGGTTTTCTAAACCATCAACTTCTCAAACTGATGTTTCCTGTTTTCAGGGAGAAGAGGCACAAAGTCTTCTGTGGGCTGTGACTCATTGTGGTCTTTCTTACATCAGCTTCCTAACTGTTCAGCTGAGGAGGATGCAGAAGCAGTTCCCTGGAAGAGAACTGGGAGGAAAACAGGATCCCTCTGTGGTTCCCTTACCAGCTCCTGGTGATTCTCGATGACCAGCAGGGAAGCGTTGTGGGAGGAGCACTGGCTCTGGCTGGAGTTCCAGGCAGCCTCACTCTCTGAGAGGAAGTAACACTTCCTCTGGAAGTACAGCCAGCCTGATGGACACAGCTCCAGGGGAGGACACACTGGAAACGCTTTGGCCAGAGAAGGCTTTACTGGGAAAAGACAAGAAACAATCTACCCTCTTCTTCCACTGGGAAAGGTTTTACTTTCTGACTGCAGCATCTAAAATAATCCCAGTCTAGCAACAGCATTGTTACTTCTGCCCAGCTGAAAGAATAATTATTATTATTATATCTTATGGATGTTATTATTACTATTACTATTACTATTACTATTACTATTACTATTACTATTACTATTACTATTTACTATTATTATTTTATCTTCTGGATCCTGCAGCCTTCTGCCTCTTGACGGTCAGGGATGGTCAGGGACACGTTGGTAGAAATAGCTGAGAAGGTGATTATAAAGAAACACCCAAGGACTCTTCTACAGCTTAAAAATTCCAACAACTCCAGTTTTTGCATGTGTTGCTTCCTCACAGTTGAATTAATAATTTTGTTTATTATAGTGGCATTTTTGAAGGACTGCAGATTGGTAGGACTATCTTCCTGTTGTTATTTGTTTTCTTGAACTTGGATTAAGACCAACAGGGACGTGACAAACTTGATACCAAAAGTAAACTAAGACTAAACTGAGCCCTCCCTAGCACCACTGAAGCATGTGGAGCTGTTCCTGCCCACAATTTCAAACAGAAATCACAGAGTCACACAGGATCAGAGAGTGGCTTGGGTTGACAGTGACCTCAAAGATCATTTTGTTCCACCCCCGGCCATGGTCAGGGACAGATTCCACCAGACCAGGCTGTTCCAAGCCCCATCCAGCCTGGCCTTGGACGCTTCAGGGATGGGGCAGCCAGAGCTGCTCTGGGCAGCCTGTGCCAGGGCCTCAGCACCCTCTCAGTATGGAACCCCAAACTCTGCTAATTTCTATTGCTAATTAGATTTTCTTTTAAAATTCCTTACTTACCAAACTGGATACAGGAAATCAGAATGACAGCAGCAGTAAGGACTCCAGCAACAGCTCGCCACAGCCAGATGTTTGAGAACAGACCTGAAAAAATGAATGCAAGGAATTAAAAAACAAAACAAACCCAAAATAACAAATAAGAACCAGCTGACAGGGGAGTAGAGCCCAGGACACACAAAGCTGTTTAAAACAAATGTAGCTCTCTGTGGAGAGCAGGCTGGGAGCAGACATTTAGCTCATCTTCACAAGGCTTATCATCTAACAAGAACTCTGAGTTACTGCAAATTTTAGTTACATCATCCAGAACTTAAAGTGACCCAAAGAGAATGAAACAAGCATGGGAAAAATGACGGTGGGCACTAAGTGCCTAAACACGGCACGGATAAGTTCCATGGATAAGAGGCTGGAGAGGAAATAAGAAAAGCCATCGGTTCTGGAGCCCAAAACTTTTCCTGAGAAATATCCAGCCTTATCCCACAGCCACAGCTGTTTGGTCTCCTTTTGCTCCTGTCCCCTCCAGGGCTGTGGAAGCACACAGGCCCTGCCGCTGCCAGGCCGAGGTGTCCCCTCAGGAGGGTCCCCTCTCCAGGCTCTAGCTCCGCTGCCAGAACGGGGCGTCTCCAGCGATGCGGCGGCTCCCGGGGGGCATCCCCGGC